TTAAATAGTTATAGTAATTTAAACAGTTTTAAATAGTTATTTTAAATAGTTATATTAATTTAAATAGTTTTAAATAGTTATAGTAATTTAAACAGTTATAGTATATTTAAACAGTTTTAGTTTTTTAAATAGTTATAGTAATTTAAACAGTTATAGTAATTTAAACAGTTTTAAATTTTAAATAGTTATTTTAAATAGTTATAGTAATTTAAATAGTTTTAAATAGTTATAGTAATTTAAACAGTTTTAAATAGTTATAGTAATTTAAACAGTTTTAAATAGTTATTTTAAATAGTTATAGTAAATTAGATAGTTAGGTATATTTTAATTTAATTTAATTCACATTTAATATAATTAAATATTTTTCATTGCTTTTTCTTAAAAGAATGCAAAATTGGAAGTTAAAAAAAAAAAAAAGGAAAAAATTTAATAAACAATTCAACAAATTATATTTGTCATATAATAATAATAATAGAATTTGATTACACATATTATAAACATAGAAATGAAATTTATTAATTGAAATAACTGTTAATAAAATAGATGAATAAATAAATCATTAACAAAGTAATTAATTATTACTATATAACAAGAATAATGATAATAATAAAGGATGAAATGTCTGTGATAGATAATATTATATGTAGGAATAATTAATTATTATCATTCTTTTATTATCATTATCATTCTTAGCTATTGGCATTCAACATTTTTAAGCAATTTCAATTTTTTTTTTTCTTGTCTATAAAAAAAGAAAGAAAAATTGATAATTTTCTTATTTCTCTAAATGATCAAAGTAAAGTTTGAAATAATCTATAAATTAATCATAAGTGAATTATTAAGTAATTTATTTAACAATGCATTTCCACTGCTTGATGATGATACTTTGACCTTAAACTTACTCGATATAATCAATTATCTAATCAATCCAAATATGTAAATTTTCACATTTTCTATTTTCAAACAATTCACTTTTAAAATGGAACTGATCATTATCATTATAATTATCATCCTCGTCATTATCACTGATAGTTAAAATATCATATCAACATTATTAACATTGTATCTTCTTTGATAATTTTATAATTCTAATACTTGAAATCAATATTTTTGATCTTTTTCTTCCTTTTTTGCTTCCAACAAATTCGTTAATAATTCTTCAAATAGTAACGATGCAATGATCTACAAATTATTAAATTAATAATTGTTCATTTACTTATCTAATTACTTAATTATTTGAAAAAAAAAAAAAAAAATTGAAAACACAATGGTTGAAGGATTTCATTGAATGAAATAAAAATTTCCATCAAATATTAAACAAATACTACTATTACTTACTACTACTAATATTACCTACTGCTACTATTGCTATTACTTACTACTACTACTACTATTACATACTAATACTCGTATTACTTACTACTACTATAAGTTACTATTACTACTATTACTGCTATAACTGCTATTTTGTTGTTTGTTTTTAGTGTCTTTCTTAAATTTTTAATAAATCGCCCTCATAAAGCATTTTGTTTACACTAAATTTTGAAATGTATTGATTTGTTCTTTGATCTCCTTATTGATATTATTATTGTTGTTGTTGTTATCCCATCAATCGTCTCATGTTAATATTTTCTGATGCAATCGTTTCATTTTATTTTTCTCTATTATTTTAGCTAAATTACAATAATATAATATATTTTAATTTCTGTGAAAATTTTCAAAAATATTCACAAATGATTATGTTTATGCTTTTCTATTAAAAAGTTAAAAAAAGGAAAAAAATTTTTAAAAAAAAAAGTAAAAAATGAGAAAATATTTACACTAACATTGAATAATCAATTGCTTAATTATTGATATTAGTTTTGCTTTCATTTTTAATCCAATTATTGATTTAATTTGAAAAATAAAATGAAATCTTTTGAATTTAGGATAATTTGTAAAATCCAAACCTTCATATTTGGTCGAATTTCTTTTTAATTAATTTCTTTTTTTTTTTTTTCAAATTAAAATGTAATTTTTAGCAATCGATTGTTTTATATTGGAATAAAATGGGTTAAACAATTTCGATATTTGATTTTTACGGTAAGTGATAAAATTATTTAATTAGCTCTTTTTTTTTAATTTTTTCGTTTATTTTGTTTGAATTAAAAAAAATCGTATATGGTTGGATGAAGTTTCATTTACGCTTCGAAATTTTCTTATTTTCTTGTAAGTTTTAAAATTAATAATAATATGTAAATTTTTGTTTACTTTTTTTTTGCAAAATTTTTTCATTTTGTTCTAGTTTTTTTTAACAAACAAATCAAAATATTTGCAACAAATTTGACTTAGAACAAAAAAAAAAAAAAAAAAAAAAAAAAAAAATTAACTAAAAGATGATTGCAAAAATAATTCATCAATTTTTTGTTTTTTTAACTTGTAAAATTTCATCTCAAATAAAGTTAATTATTTTGTTCAGAAAAGACAAAAAAAAAAAAAGAGGCAAATTAAAAAAGAAAGTAAAACAAATAACGAGTTATTAAATTACTCGTTAAATTTTTAATTGTTTCAAATTTTAAAACAAACAATTCAATTTAGCTATTAGGTTTAATTATTAATTAGCACTGATTATATAAATTTATCGATATCAGATGACAATTATTACATACAATCTTTCTTTTTTTTTCCTCTTTTCCTTCTTCTCCTTTGCATCATCCATCATTCATTTCCCTTTTTAATTTGAAAAATGTTTTTCAAACTAAAAAAAAAAAAAAAAGATGAAATATGAATGCATTTGAACGAACATTTTCCCTCTTGCATATATATATATATATTTGTTTATTTATTTATTTTTTTTAATGTATTTATTTATTCATATAACTTTCGATTTGCCCGCATTTTGCCCACCAAAATAACTAACAACAGCAGTTGAGCAGTATTAGCTAAAATTTTCTGAAATATCTATAACCAATGTTTTTCTCCTCTTACATTCATTGTTGTGTTTGTCGAAAATCAAAGCAATGATGGTAACTGATATAATGATTGATGATAGTAATGATAATGATAACTAATGGATACAGATAATAATGATAATAATAATAGTGATGATAACGATGATGATCTATTATAATATGATATGATAATAGAACTGATAATGCAGATATAGAATTTTTGTTAAATGTGTAACAGAGACAAAGTTGCTATTATGCTAGTAAATCGAAAGTAAGCTGATAAACAATTTTTATTAATGAATGGATGGAAAAAAAAATTTTTTTTTTTTTTTTTTTGCACAGAATAAAACTTATTTGTAAGAATTCTTTTGCTAACAGTTGTTCAGAAATACTTTAACATTAACATACTTAGTATCTTTTCACAACTTTTCCTAATCAACATTTTTTATTATGATATTATGATGTGTAAAAATTTTTAACAAAAGGAAAAAAAAAAAAGCTAGCTAATTGTTGAAATTTTAAAAAATTTATTAATTGAAAAATAATAAACTTGTTTTTTTTCCTGTTTTGCTGTTTATTATAGTTTATGCTAATGTACTCGTTTATTGCAATATTTAGAGCATTTAAATTATAAATTTTACTAATATGAATTTTGAACAGTTATGATTAAATTTTCCGGTTTCTTAAAATTATCAAAAAAAAAAAAAAAAGGTGATAATAAATAAATAAATGATTAAATGGGACATGTGACGATGATGCGATGCAATGATTATTTAAATATACATACTTTTTTCAGGTTTCTATACATTTTTTTGCAAAAAAATCATCTAAATTACGGTATGGTTTTTCAAAATTTAAATTGTATTATTATGATTACCTCGTTGCTATATTAGAAATGCCATTTCAGGTTATTTGAAAGAAAAAAAAAACTTGATATTAAAAAATGAAAAATTGAATTTAAACCTGAAATTATTTCACAAAATATTGTGAAATTATTCCTAAAAATTCAGAAAAAAAAAAGAGGAAAGAAAACGAAAACGCATACAATATGAGTATTCATAAATTGTATAAAAAAATTACAGAAAATTTAATCAAATAAGAGTTTTAGTTCTTTAAAATTTTAAAATCATTGAGATATATTTCACTGAATTCTTTAAAAAAAAATTTTTCAAAAATTACATTTAAACATGTTATTTTCTTTTCGTTTAATTTGAAAATATTTGTCTTTTTTGTTTTTTGTTTTTCTTTTTTTTCATCCTTGTTTTTGCTTTTTTTTTTGCTTCTTTAAAAAAAAAATTTTTTTTTAACTTTATGTTATTAGTACAAAGCATAAATAAACATTTGCAGCATTTGTAGCAAAATGAAAAATATTACCATTTGGTAGATAAGACTATGATTTCATTTTAAAAAGATAAAACAAAAGATAACAAAAATTATTCCACGTAAGACTTTTCACGTAAATACGCATCGATAATTTTATGAGTTACGTTTGATAACGTAAATATGTGCGCTATTGGTTTTACGATGGCAACGTACTTCTTTGCATCGCCATACAGAATGATGAAAACTATGGAATGTAAAGAAGTATGTAGTCCGTGAAGCTTTCATTTCACGCCATTCACTCTTCCGTTATCTTTTATCATTTATCGTTAACTTATGATTGATTAGTGATATTATCAAAATAAATTGAATTACTTTACTATCTTTCGTATCGTTAATATAAACTACATAAACTGATGAACTATCTCATATCATTAATACAAATTAGGTAAACTGATCATACGCATTATTAATATGAATTATGTAAATTCATGAATTCTATCGTACCATTAAATAAAAATGAATTCATGAAATTTTCTATAATAGAGAATTTATAAATGATTGTTGTATTTTTCATATTATTATATATTTAAAAAAAAAAAAAAAACAGAACCATTAAAATGGTAATTTAACCAAAATTTATTCTTTTTTAAAATTGATGGTTTTTTTTAACTGACATCAATAAGCTCTCAAATTTTATTACACATAAATTCTTTTACAATTTAAACGCGAAAGAAAATTTTGCAATTTTCAAAAGTTATACATTGTAACAATACGATTAATAGCGATAATAGTAATAATGGAACAATTAATCGTAGTAATACAACGATTGACAGTAAGCATACAACGAGTGACAGTAATCATACAACGATTGACAGTAAGCATACAACGATTGACAGTAACCATACAACGACTGACAGTAATAATACAACGATTGACAGTAAGCATACAACGATTGACAGTAATCATACAACGATTGACAGTAATCATACAACGACTGACAGTAATCATACAACGACTGACAGTAAGCATATAACGACTGACAGTAAGCATACAACGATTGACAGTAATCATACAACGATTGACAGTAATCATACAACGATTGACAGTAATATACGATAAATGCTTGATTTACTGCTTATGATTATATTGAATTTGTATAACATTTATTTTCATCCCTTTGCACTCTTTTTTTTTCATTTTTATTATTTATCCGTTCATTCCTAATTATTATTTACATTAGAACATGTATTCGTAAATATAAAAAATAAAATTATAAGAAATTATTTCACTATTATTTCTTATTCTTTTACAATTTTTATATCAAACAAGCATAATATATCTGTTTCTTAATATTTTCTAGTTTTTTTTTTTTTTTATTGAAAATTATTGAGATCAAAATTATTCAATCAAAAAAAAATTTGGCTATATAATTTAGAGAATAGTTCATTTAAATAATATGATAATAATACAAAAAAATCGAGAAAATTTTATTGCCTAATTTAATTTTAAGTTCTCTTATATATTCCAAAATTTTGTACTGGTCTCAAATTTATTCAAAATTTTTTATCAATCTATTAGTATCACTACCCGTAACTTTGTTAAATTTTTAATTCTATTAGCAATAGAAATAAAAAGAAAAAAAAAAGAACGATGAGAAATTGATTGTTAGCGATTAAATTTTCTCAGGTAGAAATAACAAAAAAAGTTTTGATTTCGAAATTTTTTTTTAATCAAAGTTTTTTTCAAAGTTTTTTCAATTTTTTTTTTAAATTTTAATTCTAAATAAGTGTAATTTACACAAATACACATGAATTATATTTTCATTAATTGAACGAAAATAAAAAATCATAATAGAACCAAACAGTTTTACCGTTTTGAAGTTTAAAAACTTTTGAAATGCTAATTATCTAAATGTGCGCAATATTCACAAGTATACATACATTGAATTTTCATCAATTCATACTGTTCTGTGCATATATTTGGATTTGTTCGTAACCAAAATTTACATGAATTTCGAATATCTTTACAATTTGAATTTAAAAATTGTCTACGACTACTATTGTTAAAATGGTTAATTGCTAATGATGATATGGGATGTAATGTTACAGGTGATAATGATGGTGATAATGATAACGATGATAATGTTGTTAGTGATGTTTGATTTGACAATTTTATCTGATTAGTGATTACTGTTTCATAATTTGAATGAATAATTTTAAATGGTTTTACCATATTTGCTATTAATGAATCATTTCGATTACTGATAGATTTGGTGATGATATGATCAGTTTGATTTGTGATATTTGATTGTATCAATCCAATTGTATCATTATGAAAATAAACAGTTGAACCGAGCGATCTTGAACGTACCTTAAGTGCTGGAAGTTCAGGTGTAATTTTTATACCAGCTAATATCCGTGAAATTCCATTAGTTTGTCGAATTTTATCTCTTCTATTGATCGCTAAATTATTAATATGAAATGAAAAAATAAAATAAAATCATCCATATTAATACTTTTAATTTAAAAATAAAACCTAAATTTTAATATACTATAATAAGAATAATAAAAATTAGAGATGAATTTGAATTGAGTTATTTGAAACTAAAAAAAAAGAATTTTTGATGAAAAAAAAGGAACTAACGTAATTTATGTTTCATAAATTGGCCTAATGCAGAAAGAGATTCACTAGCTATTGATTTTAAATTTAATAAATCATTAGCACGAATTGCATCATCTATAACTGTTCGGACACCTTCCCAAGTTTCAACAGCTGTTGGAATTAGCTCATCCTTATTTAAAATAAATCCATTTAATACTGAAAATTCAAAAATGTGATATACAGTAGGATCATAAAATATATGCACAAATAATAATAAATGGTTGAACATTAATAAAATCAAATAGCATAACATTATTTTCTAACATTTTTTTTTTCCTTTAAAAATTTGAACTCCAATGAAAACTTTAAAAAATTATAATCTTGTTATGATTTAATTTATGACAAACAAAAAATTTGAAATTTCTACATTTGAAATTTTAAAAAATTAATTAATATTCATCTGCACAATCTATTAACAAAATGATTGACATACATTCGAGTTGAGGTCGAAGCTCTATTAAATAAACAAATTTTACTCCAAGTGCATTTTTAGCCCAATCATCTGAACCACCAGATGCCGGTGCTAGAAATTTACTTAACAATTAAATTTCAATATATCATTTTAACATATTATAAATAACTGAACAAGTACGAAGTAATAATAAACACTGAAATGGCTTTTTTAATTTAATTTAAAATTGAATTTCCTTTTTAAATGCTAAAAAATTTTTATGTTAAATTTGAAATGAAAGCTTTCTTTTTGCTTTTTTCATACGAATAACTTACCTAAAATATCAGCACCAGTACCAATTCTATACTGTGTTCCATAAACTTTCTTCAATCGACTAACTGCACGTTTTGCCGTACGTTTCTAAAAAAAATATTATTTTAATTTTTTTTTCTTTTTCAAAAAAAAAAAATTATAAAAAAAGAAAAGCAAAGAATATAAATAGAGAAGAGAAAAAAAAAAGCATTCAAAAAGTTATCAAAAATTAATTTAAAATAAGTGAAATGATTATTCATGCAGTAAATTATGATAAAATGATAAGTTTACTAGCTATGCTAAATTTATTTACAAACTAAATAATATATATTACAACAAATGATTAATACTTAGTAACTATTTAATTAGCTGATTAGTTAATTAATTAATTAATTATTTAACCAATTGTGCATAATTGTCAGGAAATGATTCCTCTTTATGACTGTATGGATGTATCCATAGTTGAGCATACGTATGAAGTGTTATAAATCCATCTAATTTACCTTGCATTTCAGGTGATAATAAGAAATCTCTTACAGCTCTGAAATTTATTCAATTATTAAATTTATTATACAAATTTATTCGAACAAATTTCATTATGTAGTAATTGCTTTTGTCTCTTTTTTCTCCTAAAATAACTCTTCAAATTTTATAAATTCTAAATGTCTAAAAGTATTATTTGATTATTAAATCATTTCATTTGTTATCATAATATTCAAATATTATTTAAGAAATTTAAAAAATTCGTGCAAATTTTTTTACATCTAATTAATTTAATAGAAAGAAAAATTACTGCTTAAATTATTTTCTCTTTTGTTTTTTAAAAATTTTCTCAAAAAAAATTTTTTTTTTACTAGTTTTTCAAAAAAGTTTTTCATTGTAGTATGCAAATTTAAATATTTAATGTTACCAATCAATTCTAGTAACATGATAATATTTATTAAATTAAAAGATTGTAATTTTTTTTTTCAAATATAGCCTAAAATTTTGTTTTCTTTTTAATTAGCGTTTTCAAAAAAAAAATAAAAAATAATGAATTATTTGGCTAATTAATTACGATTAATTAATTCATTCATTATTGGTTAACTTTTATTTGTTATTCAAATATGACTCATTCTATTATAAATTACTTTCATCCATTTCTTTTTTTAAATGTCATCTCGAAGATATTTGTTGTTGTTTCTCTCTCTCTCTCTCTTTGTTTAAAAAAAAAAGGGGAAAAATGATGAACCTTGTTTCTGGTTCGCTAAATGCGCTTTCACCTTGATATAAGTATGAACAAGGATTTTCACTTGAGCCAACTTCTAAAATTTCTTTTTATAAAAAGCAAATTTATCTTTTTTATTTTGTTTTGTTTGTTTTCCTTTTCTTTTTTTTTTCGTGGCGAAACTAATAAAATATTTGTTATATTATATATTTTAAATTTAATTTTCCCTATTTCCATATAACAAAATAAACCAGGTCATTTTGTAATTTTCAATTTTGTTTTTTTTTTTTTCTGTTCCAATAATAACAATTGCAATGGATTAATGAATTCAGTAAATCACAATCATTATTCATTACAAATTTAATCATTTTATCATCATCCAACTCTTATTAATCATTTTAAATATCAGTAAGAATTCAATTTCTAATTTTCTTTTCTCAAAAAAAGGAAGAGAGAGAATGAAGAAGAAGAAGAAGAGAAAGATTAAAGGAAAGCAAACCAGCCCAGTGAAAATCGAAATTACGATTTAAATCGACGCCGGCACAACATCGACGACCACCCCATGGTGAACGAATACATTTTTGAGGTGAACGATTTTTGCGCCACAATCGAACCTATAGGCAAAAACTTTCGATCAAAAATGCAAAAATGTAAAAATATGTTTTTATTGTATTCAGTATTCTTATAACAATAAGGACTGTGCATTGTAATTTAATAAAATTCAACTGTGTAAGATATGCAATGCGTGGTTTCATTGTTGTATGAGCATTATTATATGTGTACACTTATTGGATGAGCATTGCAATAGATGTTTGATTGTTGTATGAGCATTACAATAGATGTTTGATTGTTGTATGAGCGTTATTGTATGTGTACACTTATTGGACGACCATTACAATAGATGTTTGGTTGCTGTATGAGCATTAATATATGTGTACGCTTATTGGACGAGCATTACAACAGATATATAATTGTTGTATGAGCATTATTATATGTATATACTTATTAGATAAGCATTACAGTAGATGTATGATAATCGCATAAGCGTTAGTGTAATATGTATAGTTATTGTCTGGGCATTATTATAAGTAATGTATAGTCATAGGTTATTGTACGAGCAGTATGAGCATTACTGTGTCTATATGTTTCATTATTGTATGAGCATTAGCATATAATATGTGTACAGTTATGGTTGTTGTACAAGCATTCTAGCAGTGAATAAAAAAGTGTTTACATTTACCTCATGAATATTCATTATAAAAATGAAGATTACAATTATTTTTCTTTCAATTTTTCAATTATTTACATACAAATAAAAATTTGATTAAAAAGCAAATATTGGAATTTAATTAACAAATTTACAATTATTTAAATATTAAACAAAAATGAAAAAGAAAAAGAATAAAGAACCTGTGGATTTGGTTTTGATCGTGTATATTCATAGCCATCCGGATTCAAACACGGAAAAATGTAAATATTGATAGATCTTATATACCGTGTTATAACCGGATCTTTTTCAAATCCTGAGACTAACTGAAAAATTCCTCCAAGATCTGCTCTGTGCATCAGTTTTTTCTTTACTTCAAACTAGCTTAAATGAATTTATTAAATACTGAAACAAATAATTCTTTTAAATTCAATTTAATTAACTAAAAGATTTCAATTTATTTTTCTGAAGTGTAAAAATTAAAATCTTTTCTTATTTGTTTCACAATTTTGAAAAAAAAAAATTGAAGAAATAAAATCATAAATTATATTAGCTCTAAATTCAAAAATTAAAACTTTAAAATAAGTTATATGTTTAAATTTATTTGATACTAGTAATTTAACATGAATATTGGATAAGATTATGCTGTTATCAATGAAACTGATAATACTAATCAGCCACTTACTGTTATCCTTACCTTTGAACTTTTATAAAATTATGCATACCTGATTAATAAAATAAAGTGCAGTATGACTTGATGCCCATTCTCTTGCATGAATATTAGCATCAATCCAAAATGCTCGTTTATTGATATCACGTATTGGATAGCCAATCTTGAATAGTTATCAATAATTTTTATCATTTTTATCAGTTCATCAAAAATTTTATCAATTTTTATCACTTAAGAAATGTTTGCTTGTTTTGTTAACATTTTTTTAAAAAGTTGTCTAACTATTTCCATGAAAAAGTTTTTTTTTTTTAATTTGTCTACTTTCTTAAAAAAAAAAAAACAATAAACAATAAACAAAATTATCAATCATTTCTGAAATTTCTTTTAATTTGTCCATTTTCTTAAGAAAAAAATTACAATAAACAATAAACAAAATTATTAATGATTCCTTAAAAATTTTTCCTTTCTTGCTAATACTGCTACTTTTTTTCTCTTTTTTTTTTTTAAAAAAAAAATGACAAAAATATTTTTATTGTAAAAAAAAAAAAAAACGAAAGGTAAAAATTACTAAATTTTTTGTTTAGTTTTATTTGCTATCCTAAATTTAAATTTTTTTCTAAAATCATTGAAGAATTAAAAAAATAAATTAAACCTTTAATCCTTCAATTGGTGCACCTTCATGTGTTTTACCAATTCGTACAAGTTTTGTTATATGTGGGTAGTAAAATTCGATGGTACGCATATATTTTAACATATCATTGTATGAGCCATAATCACCAAACGGATATTTAACATTTAATTTACTTACTTTTCTTAATGATTCTTCTGAAATAAAAAAAAGAAAAAATGGTAAAAAATAGAAAATATTATGATTGAAAAAAAAAAATTATTTATTTAAAAATTAAATTTTAAATTAACTATTTTTTTATTTAATTTAACAACACAGTAGTAACTGATAATAACAATAATAATAATAGTTGATAATAATAATAAATTAATTTTTAAATTAACTATTTTGACATTCAATTTAACAAATGTGATGGTAGTTGGCAGTAACAATAATAATAATAATAATAATAATAATAATAATAATAATAATAACAATAATAATAATAGTTAATAAGAATAATAGTAAACAATAAATAACAATAAATTTAATTTCAAATGTTCATATCAAATTTTTTTCCATATGTCGAAAAAATTTTCATTGTTTTGGAAGATTCTCGTGGGAGAATTAATTGATATTAACAAATTATTAAGATGCATTAATTAATTTATGAAATAAATAAATGTCAAAGCTTATTAATCAAAGAACGAGCGCCAAAAATTAACTTTAATTTCAATAAAAATTTAAATTTAATTTGGATTATTTTATATGTTTTAGAAATTTAAATAGTACTAATTGTTTCTATTAAAATTGAATATTAAAAATTTTCATCAATATATTTTGATTAACTAAAAACTTTTTACCTTATTATATAGTTCAATGCTTTTCCTTTTTTTTTTCGTTTTAAAATCATTCTCATATAGCGAAAGATTTGAATTAAAATTAAAATATCATCAAGAATACCCGATTCATCAGCTTTCTCATCCAAAATTGGGTCATCTTTTAAACGAGCAAAAAATGATTCTAATAATGTGTCATGCTGCTTTGCTGTCCTTGTGATATTATTTGCGCCTCTTGGATATATCTCATTCCGCTCGATCAAACTGAAATCATTTATGATTTAATTTAATTTTATCTCATTTACAATATTTGTTTTCAATTAAGATATTCACACATTCATTTCATTTATTTTGAAATTGTTTAATTTGAATTGAAACTATAGAAAATCAAATTTACTTTGAAATTGTAAAATATTTTATCAGCAAAGTTTATAATCTAATTTGAAAATGCAAAATCTCGAAATTGATGTAAAATTGTTAAAATATTCAATTCAGAGAATGTTTAAATTTATTTTCAGTTTTTTTTTTTTAATTGCTTAATGTTTTGTTTGCTAATTGTGAATTGATGAAGTTGCTTAATTATTTAAGGCAGCATAAGTGAACAATATAGCAAAAATATTGATTGATCTAAATAATAGCTGATCAATCAAGTATTGATTGATCTAAATAATAGCTGATCAATCAAGTATTGATTGATCTAAATAATAATTGATCAATTAATGTGATGATAGGTTATCTGTCTCAGTTTGCTTTAAACTTCTGCAATTTGCGCACTTTCATTTCCTGATACTATCTTGACATTATTCAATTACTCTTTCTAATAGATCAGTATGCAAATGTGAAACGATAGAATAATGTCCGATATTACGTGTTCTCTCCACGTGTACATATACACGTGGAGAGAACAACGTAAGATCACGTCAATAATTAGAATATTAGAATTAATCCATCGTTTTTCTTCTTTCTTACTTTCATTTTCGCTTATTTTATTCTTTCAAGATTTTAAAATAAAGTATCACATTTATCATTTAATGAATAATATTATATAAATAATTTAAATTTGTTATTATTAATTTAAAATTCTTGAATTAAATAAATTTAAGTTTTTTTTTTTTTTTTTGAAAAATTATCACGAAAAAATCCATTCAATATTTACGGTTTGTCCGAATGTAATAATCTATTATTTCAATATATATAGATATTTATTGAAATTATTGTCATCCAGAATGTATTAATTAATTAATTTTAATTTCTAATCAAAAGTGATTCACACTTATTTTCTTTGTTATTTGGTAATTAATTAGTACTGATTAATTAACTAATTCTATAAACAATCAAATGTTGAAAGAAAAAGGAATGTAAGATCTTCTCTAAAATAACACAATGTTAACCGAAGTTTTTAAATTTTAATTAATTTTAAATTATATCATCACAAATGAAATTTGTTCCTTAGTTCTTTTCCAGAAGTGATAACAGATTGATAAAGTGATACGATCATTATTTTTCTAAAACAGTGAAAGGCATAATTCTACCTTTTTCATTGATGATAACAACCAAATGAGATGATAAGATTATTTGGAGCTTTCTTATATTCTCTTTGATAGTGATAGAGTGATTATTGGAGATAAAAGAGGAGAGGAAAGAGAGGGAAAATATGAATAGTTTATCAGTAAATAAAATGAAACTTTAAAATATTTTATGTTATAAAAAAAAAAAAAAAAATTTATAATTAAGTAAATTGAATTTATTGAAAATATTATTGAAAGCAATAAAACTTTATCTTTTCTACTCGCTTTTTTTTTGTTTAACAATGCAAAATTAAAATCGCATATTTAGTATATCAGTAATCAGTGTTTCCTTTAAAATATATTGAACAGATAGGAATACTATATTCTAAATACTATTAAATTTATTATCATTTTTTATAAATTAATTTGTAATTAAAAAATAATAATAAACCATAATAAAACATAACATTTTATTAGTGTTTAACTTTGTTTGTTAAATTAAATAATAATACCAATAATCAATAATGGAAGTTAATTTTATATTTAATTTTTCAAATATTTAAATGCAATTTATTCTAACTAAATAATATAAAGATAAATAAATAACTCCAGCTGTATAATTAATTAGAATAATAACTTGATAAGAATTAATAACTAGAAATGCTTTACTGATAATTATCATTGAAGAATTTAATAAATGAAATTATTTTCTGCTTGATTAATTTTTAATAATAAGAATGATGACGTTTATATATAGTTTTTTTTTAAAAAAAAAAAAAAAATTACAAAGTATATATATGCGTCAAATTATGCATAACAAAAAAAAAAAAAAAAAGAAAGAATGTATGTCATTTTGGCGCAGAAATATTTGTGATCAAATTTTGGTTGAATGAAAGAAAAAAAAAAGAATTTAAATTCAATTAAACTGAAAAAAAAAACGAAGAAAATGGACAAAAGAAAAGATGGAATGAATGAAAGAAAATAGACCGGATAAATATTTGGGAGAAATTTTGATTAGAATTTTAATTTCAGGATGACTTGTTTTTTTAGTCCTAAAATGGCCTACTATTTGACATAAATATATGTCATTAACAAAAATGATGAATGGATTTAAAATTTTAATCATTCTTCCGAAAGCTTCACTAATGTTATTTATTACTATTATTGTCATTCCATTATTTCTACCTTTTCATTGTTATTATTATTATTATTATTATTATTATTATTATTATTATTATTATTATTATTATTATTATTATTATTATTATTATTATTATTATTATTATATATTATTATTATTATTATTATTATTATTATTATTATTGTTATTATAACAATTATTACTGTTGTTCATATTATTGTCCTATTATTATTTCGTCATTATTATTGTTATTATAAACATTATTGTTAATGTTATTACTGTTATTATCATCGCTATTATTATTATTATCATTATTATTGTATTATATTATCATTATTATTATTATTGTTGCTACTATCATTATTATCATTATAATAGTAATTATTATTATGTTTATTATTATTATTATTATTATTACTATTATTATTATTATAACATTTATTATTATAAATATTATTGTTAATGTTATTACTGTTATTATCATCGCTATTATTATTATCATCATTATTATTATTGTATTATATTATCACTATTATTATTATTATTATTACTTTCATTATTATTATAATAATAAATATTATTATTGTTATTTGTACTTACTAGTAGTATTTGTTGTTACACTTTAATTATTTGCCTACTATTACTACTCACTTAATGACTTACTTTTTTATTTCCATACTTCCTATTTATTTAATTTTTTTCTCCTTTTTTTCTGATATACCTTTTTTCGCTGCTACTACTAATACAAGTAATAATGAGTAGTATTTTAATCAGAATAATTTTTCTCGCTGTTACTTTATTTTTACTTTAATTATTATTCTAAATAGTTAACAATTGTTAAAATAAAATTTTAGTAAAAAAAAAACGAACAAAGTACTTCCGTTACTATTTAAAATTTCATTCAAGTAATTAGATAAAGAAAAAAAAAGATACCAAATATTATTACTAATAATATGAGAGAGTTATTAAAGTTAAATTGTTTTTTTAATTGCTGAAGAGAAATTGTTTCAATTAATTAAATTTTAGGTCTTATCAATTTTACATTGAATGAAAAATAATAGTTAGAATAACAAAAATTAAACTGTTGCTAATTAGTAGAAGTGCTATCATAAATAAAAATAATTAATTCTATTAATTAGCATTAATTAGTCAAATTAACAAAATTAATTTTACACTTCCTAACTCTTTTTATTGCTAAGGATTTGAATAAAATTTAAATTTTTTGTTAATTCGAATAAATTTTAAATCTTTTTTTTTTCAATACATCTATAAATTTGCTTTAAATTTTTTCCAAGATTTTTAGGAATAAAATTATTGCACAAAAATTTATTTATACATATTTGTTGTAAAAAAATGTTTGCATTAACATTTATATTTATTTATATTTATTATATATAAAAATTGTATGTTTATTAGTGTAATTATAATTTTTGCTATTACAAATTTACTTGTTCCAAATAATATAGCAAAAAAATAATAATGATAATATTGCAGAAATATTGTTGAAAATAATAATTTTTTTTTTTTGATATTGAATTATTTTGTGTAAAATTGATAGCAATTGTTACGATAGTAATTATTTCATTGTAAATTAAATTATCAAATATTCCATATTACTTTATTTTAAAGCTTTGAGAAGAGAGAAGAAAGCAAAAAGCTAATTAATTTTTTTTTTTTTTTTTTTAATTAGACTTTTTGATAATTCTCGGAAAAAAAAAATATTTGCATTGACACTTTTTTTTTGCAACATAATTAAGCATTTATTGTTGCAAAACTATTTGCTTAGTTTATTAAAATATAATAAAATTTTGTTTTTCTAAATTTCTTTTTTAGTTTTTGATTATTAATATTATTTTAATTATATTTTCTTTTTAATTATTTTTTAACTTTTCAACTAATTCATAATATTTTCGTTATATAATTGAAATTATTTTATTTCAATGTTACATCTTTTATTGATAATATTTTTAAAAAAAATTGAAAAAATGAAAATAGAGGAAATACCAAAATTGAATTTCAGTTTCCAAACATATTCTAAAAGCAATTGCAATTTAAAATTTATTAAATTATGACATGAAATTTGAGCATTGCAAACATTGGATAATATTCCATCGTTTAATTATTTAAATCATTTAATTATTTAAATGAATTTTAAAATAAGAATAATAAAAACAAACTTCCTAACATCTGGAATTGTGATAATATATTCGATTCCTTCTTTGCGAAATAATTCTTCAATGATAGCAATCATATTTGGTGGTACCATAATATCCATAAAATTACCCAAACCACTTGTTTCCTTCCAAATATCCAACTTAAATTAAATTTTTCATTAATTTAAGATAAACAAAGGAAATGACTTCCATTTTAGTTTTATTTTGCTTAAAAAAAAGGAAAAAAATTGAAAAAATACTAAAAATAATATATTTATCTAAAATTTTTATAAAAATAAAAATTATTCATCAAAAAAGTATTTATTACTAAGAAAATTATTTGCAATTATTGACCATTATTGTGCTAGAAATAGTAATAATAGTAATTTAACTAATAATAATAATAATAATAATAATAATAATAATAATAATAATAATAATAATAATAATAATAATAATGCAACGTAATTTGTTAAATAATTAATTATTCATATATTATTAATTAGCAAATATTGTTGACCTAACAATGAAAATTATATTTTAATAATTAATTAAAGGTTAAAAATAATGATATAATCAATCAATGAAATTGTACAATTTATTTTCCATGTCAAATTTTCATCAAAATTTTAATTTAAAAGTGATGTTTCAATTTCTTTTCTCTTTTTTTCTTTTCAAATTTTTAGAACAACAACACAAGAAGCTAAAAAAAAAACAATTAAATTTTTTCTGTTTTTGTTGTTTATTTTATTTTATTTACTTTATTTTTGAAATGAATTATAATTTGTGACAATGACAATGACAATAATAATAATAATAATAATAATAATAATAATAATAATAATAATAATAATAATAATAATAATAAAAATAATAATAATAATAATAATAATAATAATAATAACAATAACAATAATAATAATAATAATAACAATAATAATAATAATAATAGCAATAATAATAATAATAATAGCAATAATAATAATAATAATAACAATAATAATAATAATAATAATAATAATAATAATAATAATACCTCATATTCAACTGCATTATTGCGTAACCATTTGAGAACATCCATTTGAATAATATTTTGTGGTATTATTCGATATACTTTATATGCGCCATTATCAAAATTACTCAAAATAATAATGTAAATTATTCAATCAAAAAATTTAATTAATAAACATTTTTAAATTTTTCAAATAAAATTATTATTTCGATGTTTTTATTTTTATAAATAATAAATTGTTTTCATTTTTCATTTCTTATTTTTATTTTTTATTCATTGTTTCATCAAAATATCGGTCATATGTTTTTTTTTTTGCCATTCATTTTTTCTTCTTTCTTTTATTTATTTCAAAAAAAGAAAAAAAAAAACATTTAGCAAAAATTTTTGCTATATTAATGTAACACTTTTTAATGATATCACATAATTTATTTATTTTATATTTTTCCTTTTTTTTAAAAAAAAAAAAAAAAAAAAATTATGCAAATAATTGTTAAATGTTAATTAAATTCTGGTCCTTCTCGTTTGCTTCTCTTTTTTTTTTTACTTTTTTTTTATATTTTTTATTTATTTTGACATTAATATTTCTCGTTTTCAATAATTGTTATTGTCATAAACTGAGCATCATGATTAATGATAATAATAATTATAATTATTGTTATTGTAGTAATAATAATAACGATGCCTTATAATCATAATAAAATAAGAATAACAAATTAACATCACCAATAATAGTAATGATAATAACAATGATAATAATGATAAAATAAGAATAATAAAATAATAATTTCTAAAATTTTATCATTTTTGAATTTTTTCCATGCGATATTATATTAAAAATTTTGATATCTGAAATAATTATTTGTTGGAATAATATTAAAATTTTAAAATAATAGTAAAAATCGAACAAAAAAAAAAAGTTATTGCAAACCTTTTAATGGAAATTGTTAAAACTTCTTGTGTAATAAATATTAGAATGTAAATTAGAAAAAACATTGAATATTATTGTCTTTAAATTGTACTGAAAAGTAAAAAAAAAAATAAAAATTAAAAAAGTAAAAATAAATTCGATTCGCTATTAAGATGAAATAATACTAAGAAAGTTCGTAATAATTGTAATTTAAATTTATAAAATATAATCAAAAAAATAAATTTTTTTTTTTTGCTTTTTTCTCTTTTATATATTTTATTTATGGAAGTTAATATGTGATTCTTTTTAGTCTTTTATTTTTGTATAATATTTACTTTTTTCCAATTTTTTTTCCATTTTTTTTTTTAAATATTTTAAAAATATTGATAAAATTTCAACATTATTCATTTTAATAGATTATAATAATAAATATATAATTTTATATATAATAATAATTAATATATATAATAATAAATATATGTATTTTTTAGAAATAATTGTACAAAAATGAATTATAATTAATTCTTACTTTATTTTAAAAAGGAAAAAGAGAGAAAATCAGCAACAAATAATACAAATAAAAAAAAAATGAATATAATTCATTTAAAAGACAAAAAGAAAGGACTAATTTTTATTAATTTAATAATTGAAATTTTCTTTTTCTTTCGTTCCTTTTCTTTTCTCCTTTTGCTATAAGAAATGAAACACTGAAATATGATTAATTAATTAATTAATTAAAATTGAATTCGATTATTTTAATGAGTGAATGAGTGAATGAATGAATGAATGAATGAATGAGTAAATGAAATTGAACAATGAATGTTTTATTTTAGGATATTAAAATGGCCATTTTATGGATTATAATAAAACGAATAAGAATGTAAATATTTGGAAGAAGAATGAATCGTTACGAATATATGGAAAAAGAAGGATTAAATGAATGAAATGAGCAATAACAATAATAAATATTTCAATTTTTACAAATAATTTAATAGGAAAAGGAAGGAAAGAAAAGGAATGAGAATGAAATGAAAGGAAAAGAATGAAAAGAAATGAAAAGGATAATTAGGAAGGAAAGAAAAGGAAAGAATGAAAATATAATATAAGAAATTGAATATATCATTTATCATTCTTTCAAAAGTGATGAAGTAATAATATAAAAAGAATTGGTGACAAAAAGAAAAGAATGAAAAAGAATAAAGAGAAAAAGGAAAAAAGAAAACTAACTGACATTGATGGTAAAAATAAAAATTAGTTGGAAAATTTCAAAAAACTTAATTTAATTTAATTGAACACATCCATGTGAACGGTTAATATGGACGGAAAATAGTTGTTTGTCTATTAAATATCCAAGTAGTACAATAAGGGAAAAATGGAGGGAGGAGAAAGGGAGGGGAAGTAATAGGAGAGGAGAAAGAGAGGGGGTTGGAGAGGAATTAAAGAATGAAAAAGATACGATTCATTGATATTATTGGACAGGACAGGATTTACTGAGACGATAAAACATAAATCCTGTTTTTATTACCACTGTTAACTACTATCATCGTTACAATTGATACAATTATACTAGTAATAGTAATACTGATAACAGTGATAACTGTTATCAGTAGTATCATAGATGTATTAGTTAATAAATAACACAACAATGTTATTGTTTTTATTTTTGGATTGAATTTACTTAATAGAAGATTTAAAAAATGCAATGATAATTTCAATGAAACTTTTTTTAGCAAAAAATTTTAATCTTAGCAAAAAACAAAAAAATCTCAAAATGTATGTATGCTTTTATTATTATCACTGATAAAATTTATCAAAAATTATCACCATAAATGCATTGCTATTAAACAATGATCAAAAAAAGGATTATCATTTAGATTTATTAATTTAAAATTTATTTATTTAATGAATTAAATTTATTCAATAATGAATTAGAAATTATAATGATAAAAATTAATTTATAACTTTATACTAATAATAATTTTCATTGAATTATCTTTTTTTTTTAGCAATAAATTTTCCGAAATATATACTATTCAAAAACTAAATGAATAAAAGTGATATTAAATGTGTTGCATGAAAATTTTAACAAAAAGAAAATTAAAATTGTATGAAACTTGTTCAACAATAAATTTCGAATTGAATCGGTAATAAATTGTGAGATTTTTGACAAAAGATTGTTACAATTCATTATACTTTCAACTTATAATTTTTATTCAACTAAGGATGTGAAAATTATAACTGTAAAAATGGAATTATAGTTTTATTCAGCAATTAATTTTCTTTTAACGATAAATTTTTAAGAAATATGAAATATACATTTATAATTACTATCATTATTATTAGATGATTAATAACTATCACACAGTTAGATTTATGTTCAATTTTAATGATTTAATACATTGATTATTATAAATTTAACTTGTTTTAATGCAAATTTTAAGTGAAAGATAATCTTACTTTTTGTCCATTAACTTTTTTTTTTTTTTTTTTTTTTTTTGAAATAACTAAATTATATTAAAATAAGAATTTAACAAATTTCATCAACAGCTTCTCTTAAATTAGCATATCAATTCAGCTTTATCTTCATGTTCTTCAATTAATTACATCCAATAGTTTTTCTCTTTTTTTTCCTTTCAAATCTTTTTCTTTCTTTGAAATCATTAATTAATCAAATCACGAATGGTACTGATAAAACAAGAAAGATACCTGATGATTCAGACTAATTTTATGCAATTGATGATGCACGGATAAAAAAGGAAATCCGGAATTGAAATACTCTTCAATCACGTTTTCGCCGTATCTTTTTACTATTCGTTTTTATTTAACAAAGAACGAAAGTTTTATTTAAGCAGTAAAAGAAAATTTTGTTTAGAAAAAAATGACAATAATTAAAGAATGGAAAGAAAGAGATAATCGATGCACTTGAAAATATTTCCTTTAATTTGAATGATAACAATGATAATAATATTAATACTAATGCTAACAATAATAGTAATAACACCAATGATAATAGTAATAATAACAGCGATAATATTAATATTAATGCTAACAATAATAGTAATAATACTAATGATAATAGCAATAATAACAGCGATAATATTAATATTAATGCTAACAATAATAGTAATAATACTAATGATAATAGCAATAATAACAGCGATAATATTAATATTAATGCTAACAATAATAGTAATAATACTAATGATAATAGCAATAATAACAGCGATAATATTAATATTAATGCTAACAATAATAGTAATAATACTAATGATAATAGCAATAATAACAACGACAATATTAATATTAATGCTAACAATAATAGTAATAACAATAGTGGTTGATAACAATAATAACAATAGTGAAAAATAATTATAATTATTATTACAATTGTGATGCTGACTAATCAAATTGACGTTGTGATTATGATGGTAATGATAATAACAATGATACTAATGATGATGATAATAATAATAACAATAATAATAATAAAGATGCTAATATTTAATGAAAATAATAACAATATCTAATAACCAATAAAGATAGAATTGAATATTTTAAGAAATATTAGCATATTTTAAATTTTGTAAATTTGCATATTTAGCTTTCAGTTTAGTTTTCTTTTTTCACTTAATTTATATTTAAAAAAATTTTTTCTTTGTTGTTTTAAGCAAATAGTAGTAAAATAGAATTTTTTTTTTTTTAGATTCTAAATTTTTAAATAAGGATTTGAAAAAAAAAAAATCAGCTATTTCTAAAAAAAATTCTTTTACATTTTTCGTCTAAACGAAATGCATTTAAATTAAAATGGATAAATGAATATTTTTTGAGTAAAAATTTGATAACTGTTTTTCAAATATCAGTGCTAACAATAATAAAATGAATATGTTTACATCTGAGATTGAATAAATTTGAAACTTTTTTTTTTCAACGAAATTACATAGTATTTGATATATCGGTGATTAATCCGGTATTCCGGAAGAGAAATACATTTCAACACTATAACACTTTAAAATTATGCAATATTTTATTTGCTACTTCCATAATTTCACAGAGTAACTAACCGGATCTAAACGATTAACAAAATTAAATTGAAACATAAATTATTGGTGTAATAAAATTTAAATCATAAATAATCCTGGATGTTTTCTTCCTTTCTCTTTTCTCTTTCTCGCATAGTAATTCCCTTAAAATATTGTTTGTATTAGAAACGAGTTTAAATCATTCTTTTACTAATTAATTTCATCTAATTAGTACTCGGACAATTTAGAAATCGAACGATGAAAATTTGTTATCAGAAACATTTGACAGTTTATTTATAACTTTTCATTCGTTTGTGTGACATTTTAACGATTAAATTATACGTTAAAAAAAATAATTTTATTACTTCATTTTATATGAAAAAATTTTTTAATTTGTTTAACTTTTTTGGTTCTTTGTTCTCTTTTTTTTTTTTTCTAATTATAAAAATAAAAAATTTTTAGGCAAAAAGAAAAAAGAAATTGAAAATTGAATAATTTTTTATTATTTCAAAATTTTATTCCCAAAAGATGCGAACAAATATTTTCTGAAATATACTTTTAAATTAATTCCTTTTTTCATTTTCCACCGTTCCATTCTTCTTCTCCTTAATGTCAATTTTCATTTATACTTTTAACAGAACTTTTTTTTCAAATATTTATTTTTAAATACTATTTTTTTTTATTATTGCTATGATTCAATTTTATTATTTTATCGTTTTTTTATTATCATTGTTTATCATTATTATCACAATGATTTGTTTTTATTGTTTTTATTATTATTATTTATGAAATATTATTAACTGTTATCATCCATATTATTACAATTGTTGTTGTCATTAATATTATTATTGTTTTTTATAATAATAATTATTATTATTACTAATAACTAATATACACATTGAAATAACAAATATATTTTATTTGCAACTAATTCCATTTTTTTTTTCATTCATTGCAACATTAATAATTTAATTGATTAAAATTTCTTAGAAATCAAAAATGTATGCATAAAATTCATTTATTGATTATTGCTTGATCGATCGATAATCCAATTGATTGATTGATTGATTGATTGATAATTTGAATTTTTAAATAAATTATAAAATGTTTTATGCATGCATTATGGTAGTGAAAGAATTGCTATTGAAAATTATTTCTGAATGATTCATATTTGCATTTATAGAAACTTTAGCAAAAAATTTAAACATTTAAACGATGTAAAAACACCCAAACAAAATTTATTTACAAAACAAACAGACTGACAGACACAGACACATACTTAAACATACGCATACATACATACATACATACATACACATACATACACACATACATACATACACACACATACATACATACACAATTATATGCATAACTTATAATGACAAATTATTCATTGGTTGTTATCGCTTTAGTAACATTTTTGAAATGTATACAAATGACTTTTAAGTGAAATTTTGCAAATTTTGCTTTTTCTCTTTTTGAATTAAAAAATTTTTTTATTGCTAAATTATTTTATTTTATTACTGTAATTTTTCTTTTATTCGTTTTTTTTTTTTTTATGAATAAAAGAAAAATATTGAAATTTTTTAAATTTTTTTATTAGATTTTATTTTATTTAGAGCTAATTATTTTTGGTTAATATTTGTATAATAAATCACAAAATTTGCTGCTATTTTTCAATAATTTTTTTCTTTTTTATTTTCAGTATTTTATTAGCAGAGTCAGGTTAAAATGACAGTTAAATTAAGTTAAAATTTCAATTATGCAATAATTAATTAATGTTATTTTGAATATGTATGATTTAGCTATAAAAAATTTTTTTCGGTTTTTCTTGGATTATTCCAGGAAAGATATATAATTAGCTTGGCTTCAAATGGAATGAAATTTATGATGAAGTCAGTCAACTAATATTTTATTCTAATCAATCTATTGGTTTGATAATTTGTATTAAAATTTTAGAGTAAAATTTTCAAAAATGATAAAATTTTCACATTGTTATTAAAATTGTTATAGTAATTTTTAAATATAATTTTTATTTTTTCTTTATAATTTTTAAATCAGAACTTTTACCAAAAAATAAAATAAAAAATAAAAATAAATAAAGGTTCATTGATTTAAATTAATTTAAATTAGCAAATTTCAAATTTGCAAAATATTGCCATTTTGTAGATGTATACACAAAATGAGGAACAATGGAAGGAAACAGATGATTTGGGCTGTAGCGAATATCGGCGACGTGTGACGCATGAAGATATTTGCAATTGCGACACTTCATTACGATCATCAACGTCGCAAGATTTGCGAAAATCAACAGATTATTGCCCTGGATACAACGATTATGCTACCATACATCCATCAAATCTTTGGTTTCAAAATGACCTCAGAGGACGCAGTAGACAACGATATTGTCAAAATTCAAATAATTGTTGCAATTTCTGCGATTGCTATTGTCGCAATCAACAACGCTATCGTAAAAGTCGCAGTGAAGCAATTCATAATCGTCGCAAACGTTGGAATGCTTCTGATTCAATTCATCAACATTCAGATCAATTTGTGAAAAGTTCAGAAAATCTTCCAACATTATCCACAAAAAAATCATCAAATTTTCAAGCAAATAATACGATCAATCTCGACGATAATTCAATACCAATAACGATGACAACGATGACAACAACGATGACAACAACGATGACAACGATGACAACAACGATGACAACAACAACACCTTATTATGGGCCATTTTTGGCTCGTAAAATAAGAATTACACCAGCATTAATTGAAAAAACACGATCATTTCATGAATGCTATTCATCGGAACGAAAATATTTCAATGAAATTAAAACAAATGATCAATGTGATAATGTTATCAAACATTTATCAGATGTGACAACAACAAACAACAAATCAGCAATATCTGATGCATCTCCGAATATTATCACCAAACATACATGCAGTGAATTTGATGAAATACCATTATATGCAACAAAAAATTCTAACATTAACAATGAAATGAATTCATTATCAGAAACAAATTTATCACCACTGATAAGCATTGATAAATTTGAGCAAATAACAGGAAGAAATACAATTATGGATGAAAATAATTATGCAAATGGACGTGAAGCATTAATGGAAGGATTGGCATTGCTAAAATATCGAATGAAAGAACACGAAAAACGATTAATATTATCGCATCAAAATAATGAAATGAAATTATATTCAAAAAAAAATTCCGAAATTCGAGAATATTTGCATGAAAAAATGCAACAATTTGCAATAAAAAAAATTGCAAATTATTGGTATAAAAAAACATTTAAAAAATATGAACAAATGGAAAAATTTTCACAAAAATTACATCCATTAGTGAGCATTGATAAGCAAAAAATTCACACTGATATAATGAAAATAAAATCAAAAAATGTTGAAAATACCACATCTAATGCTATTATTGATAATTCTACTACTGATAATGATAATAATGATAATAGTAATCAATCAGAATTTATCACGGAAATACGTCAAGTACGAGAGAAATTACGAAAAATATCTGATAATTCTACACTGATTACTGATAACAGAAATAGAACAAAGAATGATATAACATCAATTAATGAAGGTAATTATTTAATTTTCTTTTTCTCACTTTTTTTCTAATTTTTTTTTTCAATTTAATTTTTATACTTATTAAATTTAGCATGTAGTAATTTTTTTAAATAAATTCATTCCAATTTTGTTATGCTAATATTTTTTGAATTCAATTTTTTATTTTTTTTTCTATGTTGTGACAAATTTATTTTAATAAATTATAATAAATTTTATTGTAAAGAAACCTTTTATTATGATAAGTTACATAACTAATATAAACCGATGCATTATGCAAATTAATTTTAGAAATATTGAATAAAATAATTTTACTTTCATAATTTAGCATTTTTTTTTCGAATAAAATTTCTAAAGTATAAGTGAGAAAATAAATTATTTAAATAAATAAATTAATATATTTATTTATTTTTCTTCAATTATTTAAATAATTTAATAGCTAATTAAAGTAAAACGTTGATTTTTTTTTTTCAAAAAATTATAAAATATTTACATTCTTTACTCATTTATATTAATCATATCTTTTATACATTGATAGTTTAAAATGATTTTGTAAATTATTAAAAATTATATCAAATTTTATTTAAAAAAATTTAAAAAATGTAAATGTAAATTATTATGAACAAAACAATTTTTGCATAATATTTATTAAATAAATAAGCTAATTTTCAGTGAGTAAAATTGGCGCAAAAGAATTATCACCAAATTCGAATGAAATTTTCAGTTCAACTTATTCAGCACAACAATCAATTGCTGATAATCATAGTGGAATTGATAAAAATTTTAAACAATCTAAACTTGCACCAACTTTTCATATTACTGGTAAAACAGAAAGTAAACCACAGAATACAGCATTACCAACTGCGCCAACTGCTACCGCAATTATTACTTCAACTTTTGATGATGAATCATCGAAATGTAAATTATCATCGATGTACAATGGACGAAAATATGAAACAATCACTGCTGAAGTGTACATTCGAAATCCGATGAATTTGAAACCAACAATAATTAATATTTCAACAACCGATGAAAAAATGAAGAAACCATATTGGATGGTATTAAATACATATGAGTCACCGCCTGGTACAATTGATCGAAATAATATTTTAAGAAAAACTTTTGATAAAGCAACTATTCAAGTTGGATCTAATCCATTACAAATGTCAGATGAAAAAGTTGAAAAAATGGATTGTAAATTGGAAGAAACTACAAATACTTCAGAAATAGAATGTAGTATTAATTCAAATATTAATAATATTCCAGAAATGAAACAGAAATTATCTGAACGAAATAATGCAAAAATTTCAATTTCATTTGATTCTAAATTAGAATCAAAAAGTGATCATATAATTAAAACTGAAATTGATACAACAATTCAATCACAAATTGTCACTAAATGTAAGTATTTCAGTTTTTGTTTGACGAAATTATAATTTAAAAGTATTATTTGAATTGTAGAAAAAAAAATAATGTTAATTTAAGAATTATTAAAAAAATTTTCATATAACTTATTAATATTATCATAAAATCAAGTAAAAAAAAAAATTTTTTTCTTTTTTTTTTTGAAATATTATTAAATTTTTTTTCTTTTTCGAGAGAGACATTTTTTTTTTTATTGTTTAATATATCTGTGAAATCTTTAAGGCAGAAAAAAATATTTACAAAATTTATTTGATAAAAAAAATTTTGATCATTTTATATTGCAAATGATTACTACGACAAATGCGCTTAATTTTTAGCAAAAATCTCAGATATCAAAGATGCTTTATCGAATGATTTTCAAACTTTAGTAACAATGAAAACGGATGAAATTTGCAAAACTCACCATACCATAGCATTTGAACCACTGATAACAACTGATAATGAACCAATGGAAATTTGTCGACGTGGTTTTTCAATATTTTTCATCTTTCATTACAATAACAAACCGCAGATTTTGCATAATCTTTCAATTCTTTTCAAAAATGGTATCCACTGATTTAATCACTATTTAATTTTTTCAGTAGTAATTTTTAGAATTAATTTAATTATTAAAATATTAATCTTTTTATGACTATTAAGTGAAAATTTATACCAATAAATATTTCACAAATTTTTCAAAATTTTCTTATTTTCTTTTAACAAGTTCTTAATCATCAAGAATTGATAATGTTGTAATTGATGATAAAAATTATTTATTAGAAATTGTATGGATAATAATTTTAAAATATTTTATATAATTCAATCTACTTCAAATTTTTTTTTTTTTTTTGGTAAGACTAAAAACTAAAAAGTCAGCTAAAAAGTTTTCATTGATATTAGATTTTAATTAGTGTCAAAAATTCTTGACTAGGATTAAAATTCAAAAAGTATTATTGAAATTTACAAAGTTTTCGTTGGTATCAGTGTTCTGTGAGAGATTCAAATCAACGCGTCTAATCATTTCAATTTTATGATCAATCAATAATTGTTATCATTCAATATTTTATGCTATAAAATTTATGAATGATACAAATTATGTTGCAGTAATTTTAATTTTGTTACTGATATCATTTTGATAAATCATTTTTGAAGAAATTTCAGAATTAGCAAATTATCAAAGAACAATTTCGGCAGTAAAACATAATTATTCAACTGATCAATCAATAACAAATTGGCATGTAACATATAAAATTTTAACAATAGATGATGCATTATTTGAAGTGAATTTTATTTTGTTTTAATTTTTATAAATTTTATTTATTATTCAATAATAGTAAAGGATACGAATTATTGATTTAATTTCAACAAAAATTGTTACCTTTTCTTTATTATTATTTTTTGATTTTTTCTATTTTTTTTTTTTCGTTTTTAAATTATTTGTTTTGTTTTTTTTTTTTTTTTTGTTTTATTAAAATGATAAATGTTTAGATTATAATTCCATCTAATATTCCGATTGGTCTTTGGCAAATGATTATGCAAAATAATGAAAGATCAAATTTATACACTATGAATTTATGCATTCTGTTTAATCCATGGCATAAAGGTTTAAATTTGTCGTTTTTTTTTTTATTTATTTTTTGTATATTTATAATTAATCAATAATTTTTATTATGTTGATTAAATTTGTAAACAAAAATTGTTTATTTATTTATTTTTTTATAGATGACGAGACATATTATCCAAATGAAATAGAATTAAATGAATATGTATTGAATGAATTAGCTGTGATGCGCAAATGGAATCAAAGAGATGCATGGCTTTTAGGACAATTTAGCGCCATTTGCATAAATACAATATTGCAATTGTTGGAATTATGTGTGAAAAATAATTTGTTAAAAATGGATGAACTTGGATCAGCTTTTGCAATTGTAAAAGCAATTGCTATAGCTGTAAGTGTAAAAGTTTTATATAAGTTTAATAGATTAATAATTTCATTGTTAAATTAGCTTAAAATGAAATTGAAATTAGCAATCAGATTGAAATTAGAAATTTTAAATTATATAATTTTATTTATTTTCAGATTAATTTATTATTTTCCTTATTTTGTTAAATTTTTAAATCTTTTAATTTCAATTAAAATTTTACAGATTAGTAAATTTATATTAGAAGTTAAATGGAGTGATTTTCAACAAAACGATTGTAAAAATGAAATTATACCGAGTGCATGGAGTGGTAGTAAAGAAATTATGGCATTGTATAAGAGATTGGGTGTTAAAATAGGTTACGGGCAGTCATGGTGTTACGCTGGTCTTCTTACGTCAAGTACGCTTATTTATTTTAACTTTAATTTTTTTTTAAAAAAATTTTTTTTAGTATATTTTAAGCTAAAGTTTAGAGAAATTCTTTTGTTTAGTTATTTCAATTTTTTTCTTTTTTTTTATTTGAAAAAAAGTGAAAAATTATAGTTTGCCGATGTGTTGGAATTCCATGTCGTATGGTAACGATTTATAATTTTGCGCCACAAATTGATAATGACGCATTGATAAAATTAGATATTATTGATGATTTGCTTGCTGAAAAAAGCAAAGATACCGTATGTTTTTCATTGATGCTTTTATCATAGTTATGATAAGATGATAAGATGATAATGTGATTCTGCAGTGTGATACAGTGATTTTATATTTTATGCTGGGATTTCATTTTATAGCAAAAAACACGATTATTTGATAATTAATGTGACACTAATGTGACATTACAATATGCCTAAATTAGCTTTAATTAATTTATTATCGACTAAATTAATTAATTAGAAATTGTTTTAAGCAATACTTCTATTATAAATGAATGGCAATTAATAAAGCATATATTAGCATAAATTGCATTAATATTTTTAGTAATGGCAAGGTAAAAGTTAATTAGTACAGTAAAAAGTAGAAATGAAATTTTAAAAAGTTTTGTCAAATACTAAATGTTACCAAAAATTATTATAAAAATGTTTATAGTATGATAATTAAGAATGATAATGAATTATTATCAATCAGAAAGAAGAAAGTTTGTTTGTTTTCTTTAATTATTTCATTAATAATTAGACAAAAAAACACAAACTTAGATATTATCCCAATAATTAATTTTTAAAATAAACTGCAATAAATTATAATTTGATGACAAATTAACATTTAAATTATTAGAAATTAAATAATTGACAAATTTTAAATTTAATAAACAATTCATTTTTTTTTTTAAATTTTTATCATTTAAATACAGATATGGCATTATCATATTTGGAATGAATTATGGCTTCAATCAAAAATTCTGAGAAATGATTATAATAAAAGTGAATGGCATATTTGTGATGCTACTCCAATTATAAAAGGTTGTTTACAAAAAAAAAAAGAAAAAAAATTATTTTTAAAATTTAATTTTATTCTTCTTTTTTCATTTTTATTTTAGCATCTCAATTTAGCATTTTATTTTGATTAGATATTAGTTAAATATATGGTTAAATTCAAATTTCGTTTAAATTATCAAAAAGTCCAACTGTATATTAAAATTTTATTTATATTTCAAAAAAATTTTGTAATTTTTTTTTTTTTTTTAATTTCATATTTTATTTTATTAAGGAGAATAACAAAATCAGCAAAGATCATTTAGCTAAGTTGAATTTCAGAGGAGGATAGTTTATTAAATGAAAGGAAAGGATTATTTCCGGTACGACAAATTAAAACGGATGGTGAAAAAATAGAACCGGAAAATGAGAATGAATATTACGGAAAGCAACTTTATAAAATGTTAAATGCTACTATTATTTGCAATTATTATTATCGTGATCCAATAACATATAATCCAATTTTTGCATATTCTAAAAAACATGGAAAGAAGTAAAATTTTTAATTGTTAATTTTAATCGCTAATTTTTTTTTTTTTTTTTTGAATATGTTTAAATAATTTTTTAAAAAAAAACGAATGCATTTTAAAATTGCTAAATTTGAAGTATTTCTGAAAAAAAAATGACTCTAAAATATTAAAACAAATTAATTTTTTGCAACAATTTTCAAAATGATAACACTAAAATAATAAAATTATGGTAATATTAATTATTAATTAGGATAAAAGTTATAATAATTTTTGATTATTTTAATTATTTGATAATAATAATAGTGCTGTATAAGTATGGGAGAAAAAAATAATTATAAAAAAAGTAATAATAAAGAATGAAATTAAATTTATTTTAAAGTTAGGTAAAGTTCACTTTTATTTATTCCCAATAAAAGGAAAAGAAACTTAAAAAAAAAATTTCTTTTTTTGTAGAAAAAAAAAAAACTTTAAAATAATTTTAAAATTGAGGAGAAAAAAAAAGTAATTCATAATAAAATTGATTACTTCTTCTGTTTTTTGTTCTTTTTTACTTTAAATTATTTTTTAAAGTGACAAAAAACAAAAGTAAAACTTACTTATTTGATTAATTTATTTACTTATATATTTGCTTATCATATGTACTTCAATAATTTATTCAGGATATCAAATAAACTTATCATAGCAACGATGACCAGTGATACTGATGTGACAATGAATTACAAAGGATCATTGGAAGATAGTAATTGTCACCAAACTGAGTACTTATCGTTGTTAAATGATGACGGAATTGGCAGTATTGAATTAAATTTAAGCAATTTTCAAAATGTTAGTTTTTGATTAGAATTGATAATGATAAGACATTAGAAATTGTTGACAATTTTTCTTAAAATATTTTCAAAAATAATATTTAAATATTATTAATAATTTTATTTATTTCTATTAAAACAAACTTTTAAGAAGATTTTTTCAATTTTATTTATTCCCAATGAAGAAAAAGAAAAACTTAAAGAAAATTTGTTTTTTGTGGAAAAAAAAATATTTTAATCACAAATTTTGCTGAAAAATTATTGCTACGTTATTATTATTACTATTATTATTATTATTACTGCTACTACTACTATTATTATTATTATTATTACTACTATAATTATTATTAGTACCATTACTATTATTATTATTACTGTTACTACTACTACTATTATTATTATTATTATTATTATTATTATTATTATTATTATTATTATTATTATTATTATTATTATTATTATTATTATTATTATTATTATTATTATTATTATTATTATTATTACTATATTATTATTATTATTATTATTATTATTATTATTATTATTATTATTATTACTACTACTATTATTATTAGTAGTAGTACTATTATTATTATTATTGTTACTACTACTATTATTATTATTATTCGTACTATTATTATTATTATTATTATTAATTATTATAGATCAACTATCAGTTTAATAAAAACATAATAATATTAGAAACAAATAAGCTCAAATTTACTTAATTTTTAGTTCGAAAAAGAGTTGAAAAGATTGATTTATAAATTATATGGTTTTTCCATTTTTATCACTTTTCTTTTCTTCCTCTCATACATTTCTTAATTATCCTATTTAATTATCACTTATCAAAGAGCACTTTATAGATCAGTATTGATAAGCCAATTAATGGATCATTAACAGTCATAAACAAATCACAAATTGAACAAACAGTTAATGCACAAATCCAGGTTGACTTAACAAGTTATACAGGATTGGTTATCACACATGTTTATCTCTACGAGAAAATGCTTATCATCCGATCAAAGCAATGTATGATAATGATATGATAATTATTTCCTTTTTTGCTTTAATTATTTTTATTCCTATGAAATTTTAATTAAATATTTTATTAATAAAATTAAATTTGAAATGTATTTTTATTATATTGTATTAAATTAATGAGGAAACAAATGATAAATAATTTAATAGCAATAATTTCATAAATTAATAACGCTGTGAAGATAGCAACGAAACTGAAAACAATTTTGATAATTAAAAATTTTAAATTATCCTTTTTATTTAATTAAAATTTACTTTTGAATTATTAATTTGTCAACTTATTTAGGCCAAAAGATAGAATTTAGTATTCCATCTGAATACTTTTGTAATATGTTTATGGAAGATTGGAATATTTCTATAATAGCATTTGCAAAAGTTTTACATAACAATGAACGATTTTATACTCAACAAATACTTACACTTCTCAAACCTATATTATCAATCAAAAAAGTTAGTTTTTTTTTTTCTTTTCAAATCATTTAAAATAAAATTTTTATAAAAATGAGATAGTAATATAATAAAAAATTTGCTTATCAATAAAATTTATAGTTTGTCAGCATGACTTAAGTTTTAAATACTTTTAAAAATTAATGAATTAAAATGTAAAATTATTAGATTAGTAAATTTTAAATTTGCCTTTTACCAATAAATAATTTTTCATTATTTGGAATTATTAATGCAATTTAGCAAAAATTTTCTTTCCATTTTTTTTTTCTTTTGTTATTTTTTTTTTTACAGAACAAATTTTAGCTTTTACAAAAGGATTTGATAACTTCGAGTACTGATAAAGAAGAATTTCAAATTTCGTTAGCAAATTCATTAAATATTTTATTAACAAATTGTGAAATTAGAATTGATGGTACTGGACTGACATTTAATGATTCACCAATATTATGTGGGTTAGTCATATATTATTTAATTTTAGAATTTAAATACTTTGAAGAATGATAAAGGAGTAATTATCAAATGTTAGAAAATGACTATTAAGTGAGTAAGAAATTTAAATATTTTGATGATTGTTGTTGATAGAGCAAAATAAATTATTGATAGAGTAAAATAAATTATTGATAGAGTAACATAAATTATCGATAGAGTAAAATAAATTATCGATAGAGTAAAATAAATTATCGGCAGAGTAAAATAAATTACTGATAGAGCAAAATAAATTATTATGGAGTAAAATAAATTATTGAAAGAATAAAATAAATTATTGGCAGAGTAAAATAAATTATTGATAGAGTAGAATAAATTATTATTAGAGTAAAATAAATTATTGAAAGAATAAAATAAATTATTGGTAGAGTAAAATAAATTATTGATAGAGCAAAATAAATTATTGATAGAGTAAAATAAATTATTGAAAGAGTAAAATAAATTATTGATAGCGCAAAATAATTTAATATCCCAATGCATTATTTTAGATATTAATTTATATTATCAAATAATTCTATCTTCTTCTTAGCTTATAAATAACTAAAATTATTTATCAATTAAATTCCTAAATAATTTTTGTGATCAAAAAAGAAATGAAATAAAGAAATTTTTAGATCTATTGAAGCTTACAATACTTTAACGATTACAACAAGCGCAATAAGAAAGACAAATTTAAATGAAAGGAAAATTGTTGCTGTATTTAATTGTGATCAATTAAAAAATGTTCGTACTTATCTTATTAGTAATTAATTTTAATTAACATATATTTTAAGTTTTATTTGTCAGAAAATTTTTTGAAATTTTTAATCAATCATAATAAGAATTTATTGTAATCAAAACTCTATAAAAAATAGTTAAATAAAAAAAAAAAAAACAAAAAATCATGAAAAGTGAAAAAAAAATGAATGAAATTCTTTATGTAAGCAAATATTATCGGAAATATCAGAAAAAAAAAATCAAAATTAAAATTTATGAATTAATAATTAGCAATTGTTTTTTTTTCATTAACAATTTTGCATTAATTAATTCTTATCTGAAAAAAAATTGAAATAATATATGCATTGTTTTAATCTCTGTACTTATATTTTTCAAAATCAAATTCAATACTATCATTTTTTTATAAATAATATTCTTAAAAATTAGAATTAATCTTAAATTAATGGAATTATCATCGTTTCTTGTATTTTACTGATAATAAGATTTATCAATAATTTTTTCAATTTATAATAAAATAATCATAGAATTTCTCTCTTAATATTTTTACTATTAAAATTTCATGCATTTAATTTTTAAAAAAATATTAAATTCTCAAACAGATAAACTGTCCCGAAGTGTGCATATTTTTTCTATATTAAATAAAAATTTCAATTTTTTTCTTTGCTATCTATTTTTTATTAAATTATTTAAATTAAGCATGAAAAAAATTTTGTGAATAATTTATAAAACAAACATTAAAATTTTTTTAAGATAATTTATAAACAAACAATAATAAAAGTAAGCAAAAAATTTGATCTTATATTATTGAGTAATAAATAAGAATGCAAATCTCATCGATTCTCTCACATTCAAATATTGTAAATAAAAAAAATAAAGGAGAAAATAGTTTTAAAGGAAGAAATTTCAACAATTTTTTATCAATTATCAAATTATTTCATTTAAATTGCTCTTATTGTAAATTATCAATATTTTTAAACATTAATATTAAATTAAAAAATTTAAAAAAAAAATGATGTAAATCACAAAGTTTTTAATTTTCCAACTATTTAATATTTCAGTCTACCGCTACATCTTTTTTTTTTCTTAGATGCACACAATTTCAAAGATATAAGTAAGCAAAACTACTCTGATTATGTCTTATCTTATCATATCATATCAGTTATTTGTAGTTAATATCATTCCTCTATTGTATTATATTCGATAGATTTGTCGTTATTATTATTTTTATTTTTTTTGTTTTTTGTTTTTGTCATTTTAATGGCTCATTTGTCGCATGCATGAAAATTAATTATATTTATTAATTAATATACATTTTTTATAAATTATTGCTATCTTTCATTTTTTCTTAATAATTAGATCAAACAAATTGAAACAAACATTATTGATTTGTATACGTTCCGATATTTGTTGATCACTTGGCGCTTTTATCATTAGCTTTTTCTTTTGAATCTGTAAAAAATTACATTCGAAAAAAAAGAAACGAAAAGAAAATGTGTAATTAATATGAATTCTTGCGTAAAACTATTTTTTTTTTCTAAATTTTGCTAATAATTTTTAAGAATTTTTCATTTTTTTGTTTTCTTTTTTTTTCTCAAATTTTTTTAAATTGTTTACAATTTTGTTTATAATTTAATTTCTGTTATATGTTGCAAATGAAAAAAATAATAAAGAAATCAGTATTTACATTATTCGTTATACTATTTATTTTAACAATTAAACGTTTAATAATTATTGTCATCGAAGATTTATATATTATTTTATTGTTATTACTTTTAATGCATTTTAGTTATTTTAATCAAAAATTCTGATTTTAATACTTTTTTTTGTAAAATTTTAATTTTTACAGGAAAAAATAATTATTAGAAATTGAAAAAATATTATGGAAGTAAATTTAATAAAACAAAAAAAAGAGCAAAATATTTAAATTATTTAATAAACAACGGTAAATTGCCTTGTTCATTTGAATAATCTCGAATTGAAATTGTCTCCGATCTGTCACAAAATATACATCGTTTTATATTAAGCCAAATTTTATCAGATACTGCATAAATCTATAATTATTGATAATAATCATTGATAAAATTATCATTACTGATAAAAATTATTTTAAAAAATAAATTAAAAAACATGTAATTATTGATAAAATCATTTTAAAATAAATCAAAAATTCATTAGCAAAATTTTATTTTGTTTTCTTTTTTTAAAGTAATTAAATAAAATAAAATTTATTTACCAAAATTGGTGCTAGTAACGGATACATCAAACGTAACCAATTTAGTATTATGTAAGCATCTTGTGGTACCATAAAAGCATTATCACTTGTCAGTAACACATTACTATTTCGTATCTAAAATTAATAACTTGAATACATCATTTTTACTCATTTATAATCGGTAATTGAGAAATGAATGATTAAATTACAATTTAATGACATTTAAAATGAATAAATAAATAAATAATCCATTTGTATATCATTTATATATTTGATTTTGTTGTTATCACTTAAATACATTTTAATCAATTTAATCAGAAATTTTTATTTTAATGATTTTTTTGCAAATTTCTAAAATTTTCAGTTTAGTTTTATATTTTGAAATTTTAACTTTTTATGCTAAAATTTACACTTTATACTAAAAAATTAATGTTTTTTTTTTTTTTTTTTTTTTTTTAAATAATTATTAAAATTGAAAAATATTATGAAAATAAATATCTAATAGAAAAAAATAGAAAAGACAAAACGAGAAAAAATTATTTAAATTATTCAATATACTCAAAAAAAAATATTTTCTTTTTTAAAGCAAAAAGAAAGGTTATTAAGGTTAGAGAAAACAATAAATAAAATAGAAATGATAAAATTTTATTTAAATTCATAAATAAAATATACATGGGCATAATTTACTACAAATATAACATTTCATTATGCAATTAAAATTTTAAAATATGAATAAAAAATTTGAAAAATACCTGTATGAAAAAGTTTAGCATAATAAATGGTCCATCAAATATGATAAATAAAATGATAAGAATTAGAATAAGTTTTAAATGATTCAAATAATCATAATCAAACGAAGAAGTATGTCTATTGAATGATAAATTTTCATTTGATCTGATCGATACTAATTGATCTTTGTATTGATTATTACGCGACAAAAGCGCCGCCAGACAAATTAGTATAATAATGAGACAAATGCTATAAATCAATATGCATACAATTGGATATAAAATTGGAACATTCCTGCAATTTTACATTTGTATCAAATAATTGAGCATATTTGTTTATTGTTTATTGTTTATTGTTTATTTTATTTTTATTTTTCATTTTTATTTTTTTTTTCTTTTCCTTTTAATAATCATAATATATGCTGCTATTAAGTAATTTAAATGAATTAAAATAATTTTAATTTTCATTTGTAAACTTTTGAAAAAAACAAAAATTTGAAACAGTTTTAATTTAAACTATAGATCTACATCAATTTCAAAATATTTAAAATTTTGTTGCAACAAAAATTTCAATTAATTCGATGATGTATTTTAATCACAATTTTTGACATATTTTATAAATGAATGATTTTGAAAATAGTAAAAATTATTTTGTAACTGTCAAAATAGTCGAGAAATGCAATAGATAGACTGTTATTTAAGCTTTTTTTATTTTTTTTTTTTTAATATTTTACAAACATTTTTCTTAATTCAGTAGCAAATAAAATGACTGATCTGATTTAATTGATCTGATCTGATTTGTCAATCAAATGTCAATTTCAAGGCTAAAATGTCATTGTTGAAATGTTCATAATTATTACTTAAAGTTGCCATTTTGTCCTCTAAAATTTACAAACTTTCTTCTAACCCTCATTTTCATCTTTCTAATATCAATTCAAGAAACGATATCTGCTAGATTCATATTGTTCTATTGTCTCCTAATAAAGACTAAAAATCTCTAAATGTTGAATTCATGTGATTTGATTGGCGGTAATGTCTTAGAGTGCGCAAAGAATACGATAGTGCAGCAAGGCTTAAGTACTTGAAATATTTTAATGTAGTATTAGTTTAAAAAGTCTACAAGCAAATATTGTTTGCTATTATTATTATTATTTTTTTTTGTTATATTAAAATTATAAATTAATTTAAAAAGAAGCTAACTTGTCAATGCTGCAATTATACCAAAATTCAGAGGGTATGACAGGTATGTGATGTGTAAATATAGGTAAAACTAAACAAATACTTATTAGCCATAAAACAATAATAAATGCTAGTATTCGCCAATTGTTAAATATAAATTGATTTGGAAAGTATGATAGAATAGCTTGTATAATAGCCATTAGCATTATACTCATTAATAATTCCATATTAACAAACTGTAAATTCATATTATTGATATTTTGATATGAACTGATAATAATTATCCAAACACAGGTATATTGGTAGGTAATTATATTTTAGTATTTGTTATGTCAATTCAACTAGAAATGATTTGTAGTAAATATAGGTAACCTAGAGATACAATAGTTCAAATATTTAAACAATGTAATGCATCAAAATAACTTTGGAAATTTTTAAAAACACTAAAAAAAATTTTTTTTTAAAATTTAAAATACTGAAATTTAATAATGCTGAAATATTTTAAGAAAAAATTTGAAGCAATTAAGAGTGATATAGCAATAAAAATTATATATTATTATTATTTTATTTCTTTTATCATATTATTATATTTATTTAATTGGATTATATTACTGCATTCTACTGCATAATAATAATAATAATAATAATTTAATTTTAACTTTTTTTTTGAAATATTTGGGTTAGTGATAATTGTTATGTAATTGAAAATGAATCAATAATAGATGAGTATGATGAAAAATTAAGTTCTATTCTCATTATCAAATTATCAAAATTTTCCTGTCATACGGTTTATCAAATATTTATCAAATATTGAAATATAATAAGTTTTGAAAACCTTTAAATTATACCTAGCTATATATATATAAATGATTAGATTTAAGATAATTTCAAGAACTTTAGTAATCAATAAATAGAATATTAATAATATTATTTAGACGTATGTGAAAGGTTCCGGAATATATTCCGTATATACTCTCATTATTTTCCATTTTTTTTCTTTTTTAAAATATAATGAAATATACCTGTTCAAGGGTGACACTCAAACGACATATTGTCATATCAGAAAGCCAATTATCATTGATAATAAACAAAAATGGAATAAACATACCGGATAGTATATCAAATATATTTAATATAGCAAAATTGCAAAACAATATAAAAAGTTGAATTGAGCGAAGTTTTCGACTACAAAAATAACTGGTCAATAGTGCCAAAGAATGACAGTAACTTTTAAAAAAAAAAATTAAAAAATCAATTATAACTTAAAATATTACTATTTTTTTTTCTAACCTAAATTAATAAGTTTAATTTTTGTTTTTAGCTTATAGAAATAAGCCTGAATAACTATGGAAATAATATATTAAAAGTCATTTCAACTAATATTCATGTGATTTTCTCATTAATTCATGTAAATTTTTATATAAAAAAAAAAAAAAAAAAAATGATTTTTCACTTTTATATATTGTAATTATAGCAAATTTATCATTCGAATTTCAAATAATATTTGTCAATTTTGTTGGAAAATTTTATAATATAAATTAAAATTACCTTAAAAGTATTGTAATTAATAGAATAAGGTTAAGTAGAGTGGAAAAAATAGCAAATAATCCAATTACAATGATTGCTGTTGTTTGTAATTTAGTATTTCTAGCACGATTAAGCATATTATCAATTCCGGTATTATCTATTAGAATGTATTTCATTTGTAAATTACTTATCCTAAAATTAAAAAAAAATGACAAAAAATAAAATTTCTAAAAATATAATAATGAGAGAATGAATGAATGAATTAAATTTTTATAAAAGAATAATAATTTACAAAGAATATAGTTCTAATAGATGGAAGAATACTTCGTTGCTAAAATTGGTTACCATGGTTACAAATAAAACATTTAATAATAATTTGTAATTTCTGCTAGTTATTTTACTATAAAATTATAAATTCTTTCATTACAAAATAACTTCAAATGATGTTTTTTATGTTATATTTGTTTTACTTTTTATTATTTTACTTTTAATATCTTATAATTATATTCAACTATGCACATTTTTTGTTTTCATGTAGATTACAAAGTACACAATTCATAAATATTATAATATGTGATCACTGATTATTTGAACAATAAGATGATAAAAGTCAAATGAAATTTCAAATCTAAAAATGAAACATAACAATTAAATGAAATTCAAAAATTGATTAATAAAAGATAACGGTCAAATGAGTTCTCAAAATAATAGTAAACAGTAAATAGTAAAGGATAATGGTCAACTGAATTTTATTTATTTATTTATTTTTTTTTTTCAAAGCGAATTATTTTGGTTGCAGAATTCGTTGTAATTAACTATTTTCAAATACGATAGATGTAGATTTAATAAATCAAAAGATGATTTGATAAATTGAAGGATGACTTGGTGAATCAAAAAATGATTTGATAGATTAAAAAATGACTTGATTAATCAAAAGATGATTTGATAAATTGAAGGATGACTTGGTGAATCAAAAAATGATTTGATAGATTAAAAAATGACTTGATTAATCAAAAGATGATTTGATAAATTGAAGGATGACTTGGTGAATCAAAAAATGATTTGATAGATTAAAAAATGACTTGATTAATCAAAAGATGATTTGATAAATTGAAGGATGACTTGGTGAATCAAAAAATGATTTGATAGATTAAAAAATGACTTGATTAATCAAAAGATGATTTGATAAATTGAAGGATGACTTGGTGAATCAAAAAATGATTTGATAGATTAAAAAATGACTTGATTAATCAAAAGATGATTTGATAAATTGAAGGATGACTTGGTGAATCAAAAAATGATTTGATAGATTAAAAAATGACTTGATTAATCAAAAGATGATTTGATAAATTGAAGAATGACTTGGTGAATCAAAAAATGATTTGATAGATTAGAAAATGACTTGATTAATCAAAAGATGATTTGATAAATTGAAGAATGACTTGGGAATCAAAAAATAATTTGATAGATTAAAAAATGACTTGATTAATCAAAAGATGATTTGATAAATTGAAGGATGACTTGGTGAATCAAAAAATGATTTGATAGATTAAAAAATGACTTGATTAATCAAAAGATGATTTGATAAATTGAAGGATGACTTGGTGAATCAAAAAATGATTTGATAGATTAAAAAATGACTTGATTAATCAAAAGAAAACTTAAAAAAATTAAAATGTGACCTCATAAATCAAAAGATGTTATGGTAAGTTAAATATAATAAATTAAATTAAAAAGTAAATGCCAAAGATATTATAATATCTTTTAAGCAATATTTCAAATAGTTACTCATAGTTACTGGTATAGAATAAAACAACAAAGTAAAATCAATCTTTTTATTTCTCATATATAAATACAGAATTTATCTATGAAGAAGCAGTTAATCAGTATATCAACAACTGATAATTTTAATCAGTAAGTTATTGTAATAACTTAATTTTAAAAGTTACAATATTTTAAAAATTCTGTTTATACATATTTTATATATTAAATAAAAATTTTTCATACATTTTTTTGTTAATTTTATTAAATTTTTAATATTTTTCTAAAATTTAATTCTAATATTTCTTTTTTATTGTAAGAAAGCGTACATATTTGAATTAAAAATACATAGTAAATTAAAAATTATTAAAAATATACAGTAAATTGCATGTAAAGAAAAGAAGAAACAGAGATGAAGAGAGAGAGAGAGAAGGAGAGAGAAAGAGGGAAGGAAAATAAAAGTGTAAAATCTAAAATATTAGACAATTGACGTAATTCTTACGTGTTGAGCGATACGTGTAAAAATTATTTATGTTTTATCACAACGCTATCCCATAATTTCGATTTATTTTTAACGTTTTTTATTGGGATATACATATTCAATAGTTATTATAGTAGTATCTCTGAGATATGCTATTACGTGTAGATGTATTATCGTACGTTTATTACGTACGAGTATGTTTATTAATAATTAGAACTATTACGCTGCAACAAATAGCATAACTCTTAAAACAAAAGTTAGCGTTTAGTGTTTTGTTTATTTTACGCGAATTTGTTACTGACCGGATATCGATGTTATTAAAGTATTCCTGGTTTTCAGCTTTTTTTTTAAATGCGTATTATTTTTTTTTAAATTATACGTGAACTTACTACGTTTCTGTTACGTGAAAAAACTATTACGTGATTTTTTGTGGAAATATTATTTTGTAACACAGTTGTTAGATCGATTTCATTGATTATTTGTGAATGTTTTTGATAGTTGGGCAAAAAAGGATAATAATATCTTTATAATTTGTTTTCATTGTATTCTTTTCCGCCAGTTTTTTTCTTTTTTTTGGCTGTGTTATGTTGAATGTAATATCTGAGTGTAAAGATATAATATTTATATTTCTATATCAAATAGAATGATAGTTGATTTGAAATTTTTGGTGCTTTTGATATATTCAGATTATGTTTGGCAAGGTACACTGCAAGTTTATAATGTTAACATCTGTTTACAGGTATTGGTATTTTCGATTAGAATTGGAAGAAAAGAAAGTGTATAAGTTCATGATGTCCTCTAGTTCACCATCACAGGATTCAAGTTCGTATAATAGTTACTGATTTGTTGTCATGATATATAAATAATATAGAAAGACGTTTATTTCATATTTTCTAATTTCAAAATAACAATTTGCATATTTAGCACAAAGTTCGGAACCATTAAAGCCAGATGAAATCACAGCGCTCGAGTACACATCACTGAAAGTACCGTATGAAATGTTCAACAAACGATTTCGTTCATCACAAAAAACAATGGAAAAAAATAATTATTTCTTGAAGGAAACTGCTGATTTAGTAGCAAAAGCTATGAAAGGTGATGGAACTAAGCCTATTTATAAACGTGATGTAAGCTTCTATTTCTTTGATATGTTCATAACTTATATATATTTCATTTTTATGTAAAATATAGCATTTTTGCTGGAATAATCCAGCAATTAGACTTTTTAATGAGCCTGAAAAATCTGATTTTTAATTTAATTCTTGTATCCTGACACATGTCTTTAGCGCTGAGAAGTTTTTTTTTTTTTTTTTTGCTGAAATAAGATTAAAGGCAAGCAAATGAACGTGAATTAGTTACAGAGGTAAATTGGAGGGTGATAGAATATTTTTTTCAAATTTACTTAATTCGACGCAACATACAATGCTTTATTTTTTGTTAACATTTTTGTTAATATTTTGTGACGTTGGCTATACATTTAAGTTTGATCCGGATTTTTAAAATTACAGATTAAAGAAAAAATGGATCTTTACTTTGGACGCTTTGATGAACTCTTTGGTACATTTAAGCAAATCACTGATGAGGAAATGGAATTGATTGATCTCTTGGATACGCGAGTCAAATATCTGCAGCAGGTTCATTAATTCATATGATATTATTCTTTTTTGTTCAATACTGAAAATGGTTCAGTTGAAAAGGATGAGATGAGGCACGATATGGATCGAAGACAAGGGTTAGATTACTTCATGGTTTCTGTTTTTTATTCGAAATCATCCATGTGTTAAAACACGTGCATAATTTATTTTAATGCTGTGAGTTTACGAGTTTTTGAATATACATAAAAACGCTGAAATAATCTTAGTGAATACAGTATGTTTCCAAAAAAAAAAAAAAAACAGACATTCAAAAATGAAATAATTATGGGATGAATGATGACATTTGCAGTTGTTTTGCACTCGATGTTGGATAGATTGTGATGAATCAGTTAGTAGAAGTTCTAAACTAAAAGGTTTGGTAATATTTTCAGGCTAACACGACGGATGCTTTGAAGCAGGAAACTTGGCGTAGTCAGCGCATTAGTCGCTTGATTATCGATTATTTGTTACGTTCAGGTTATTTCGAAACTGCACAAAAGTTAGCGGAACAAGCGAATGTGGAAGACATGTGTAACAAAACCGTTTTCATGATTGCGAAGCAGGTAAGTGGAACTCATTTCAATTTCCGACCCAATTTGCTGAAATTTATACTTTTTGATTAATGATATTTGGTTTCGTTTTCCAGATAAGAGTAATTTAATGCGTCGTGAAACTGGTATTGGATGAATTTCCTGGGAAATTTTACAGGTAGAAGATAGCTTATCGCGCCATGAAACCGACCGATGTTTAGAATGGATTGCAGATAACAAATCAAAATTACGTCGCTTGAAAAGCACCCTGGAAACCACGGTTCGCTTGCAGGACTGTATTGAATTGGTACGACGAGGTAAGCTTCTTTATAGCTCACAAATATCTTTTTTTGCCGGCTTCATTTATAGATTCTACTTAGAGTGAGAATATGCAAAATCTTTTAGGGGAATAGAAATTTGCCTGCTGTGAAAATTAGGCATTGTATTAATATAAAATTAGGTATTGTATTCTGTCATGTGTTTATAATATGATGAGTACTATGAAAAAAAAAAAAAAAAAACTGATTTTTCAGGCGATCGTTTAGAGGCTGTGCATTATGCCAGAAAATTTTTGGCCAACTTGCCGAAAGATCAATGGAGCGAACAAGTTGTGAAAGTAATCCACTTTCTGCTTCCGTTCTATGCTTACATAAACTGAAAGAAAATGGGAGAGGAGCATAGGTTAAACATTAACATCAGCAAAACTTTTGGGTAGAAATTTTTGAAGAATGGTTCATTGGCAAACGGTGAAGTGTTCAGTGTATTCAATT